TGCCCGAGCTCTACCCACTGCTGCAGGAGTGTCATGGGGTGAGAAGCTGTCCCCTCTCATCACTCATGGTTTCTCCTCTCCTTGCACACCAGCCTTGGGATGGATCAGGGTCAGAGGGAGCCATTCCTGTGGTTTGCGGGTGTTTTCCCACTCCCCAAACAGAAGGAGTTAGAGCTTTGGATGAGGTCTTTCCAGTCCTGCAGGAGCAGTTGAGTCATGAGAAGCTGTCCCTGCTGATCAAATATTGATGTTGTCTTTTTCTTTCCAGTGGAACATGCTGCATCACTGGGTGAGTCTCTGTGATCTCCTCCTGGCTCAGTGTCCTCTCCCCGGTGCTCTGTCTCGGCCCATTCCCTCCTTGCCTGTCCTCTCCATCCCTGCATCCCCTGGGTCCAGGGAAACCTCGATGGGATGTGCCTGGGTGGGTGAGCAGGTCAAAGACCCCAGAGAAGGGATGGACCCTCTCTCCTGCCCAGACCTGCTGGGCAACAGACATGGGATGTGAGAAGGTTGGAGGGAGCCATTTACAGGGTTTGGGAGGGTTTTCCCACATCCCAGAAAGGAGGAGTTTGGGATCTGACCTCTCCTGTGGTTGCAGGCGTGTGATGAGAAGGTGTAATCTCTGATCACTCATTGCTTTTGTTTTTCCTTTCCAGGGAATCGAGAAGCAGAATTGGGTGAGTCTCCATGAGCTCCACATATCTCGGTGTCTTCTCCCAGGTGCTCTGTGCTCAACCCTTCCCCCCTTGCCCATCCTCTCCATCCCTGCATCCTCTGGGTGCAGGAAAACCCCGAGAAGATGTGCCTTGGGGGGTGGGCAGCTCAGGGACACCAGAGCAGGTCCTCATGCCCAGACCTGATGGCCACCAGCCATGGGATGTGAGCAGCCTGGAGTTAGCCATGCCCAGGCTTTGGGGGTCTGTCCCCAGACAGGAGGAGTTTGGGCTCTACCCGAGCTCTACCCACTCCAACGGGAGCAGCTCGTGGATGAGAAGCTGTCCCCACTCATCACTCATTGCATTTGTTTTTCCTCTCTAGACCAGCGAGATGCAGCACTGAGTGAGTGTCCCTGAGCTCCTTCTGGCTTGGTGTCTTCTCCCGGGTGCTCTGGGTTCAGCCCTTTCCCTCTTGCCCATCCTCTCCACCCCTGCATCTCCTGGGTCCAGCGAAACTGTGAGGGGAGATTACTAGGGGGGTGGGCAGCTTGAGGACACAAGAGCAGGGGCGGACCCTCTCCCCTGACCAGAATCCCTGGGGACCAGTTGTGGGACTTGACCAGGCTGAAGGGAGCCATTCACAGGCTTAGGGGTTGGTTCCCATTACCCAAAGAGAGGAATTTGGGCTCTGCCCAAGCTCTGCCCACTGCTGCAGGAGCAGCCATGGGGTGAGAAACTGTCCCCTCTCATCATTCATTGCTGCTGTTTCTCCTTTACAGGGAAACGAGAGGCAAAATTGGGTGAGTCTCCATGAGCTCCACGTATCTCGGTGTCTTCTCCCTGGTGCTCCGTGCTTGACACTTCCCCACCTTGCCCGTCCCCTCTATCCCTGAGTCCCCCACTGGGCCTGCGGAAAACCCTGTGGGGATGTGCTAGTGGGGTGGGCAGCTCTGGGCCACCAGAGCAGGGTGGCCAGAGCAGACTCTCCCTTGCCCAGAGTCCCTGGGGACCAGGCGTGGGACATGACCAGGCTGGAGGGAGCCATCCCTGGGACCCAGGGAGTGTTTTCCCACTCCCCAAAAAGGGAGAAGTTTGGGGTTTCCCCAGCTCTGTTTACTGAGCACAGAGCACTGAGTGAGTATCCATGAGCTCCTCCTGGCTCTGGTCTTCTCCCAGGTGCTCTGGGCTTGGTCCCTTCCCCTCTTGCCCGTCCCCTCCATCCCTGCATCCTCTGGGTCTACAGAAACCTCGAGGGGATGTGCCTGGGGATGTGGGCAGCCCGGGGACACCAGAGCAGGGATGGACCCTCTCCAACATCCAGACCTGCTGTCCACCAGCCATGGGATGTGAGCAGGCTGGAGGGAGCCATTCACAGGCTTTGGGGGTGCTCTCCCACATCCCAAAAAGGAGGAGTTTGGGATCTGCCCACGCCTGTGGTTGCAGGCGTGCGATAAGAAGATGTTCTCTCTGATCACTCATTGCTTCTGTTTTCCTTTCCAGCGGAACGAGCCGAAGCACTGGGTGAGTCTCCGTGAGCTCCTCCTGGCTCTGTGTCCTCTCCCTGGTGCTCTCTGCTTGGCCCCTTCCCCCCTTACCCATCCTCTCCAGCCCTGCATCCCCTGGGGTCCAGGGAAACCCTAAGGGGATGTGCCTGGGTGGGTGAGCAGGTCTGGACCCTCTCCCCTGCCCAGACCTGATGGCCACCAGCCATGGGACGTGAGCAGGCTGGAGGGAGCCATTCACAGGCTTTGGGGCTCCGTTCCCACTCCCCAAACAGGAGTTTGAGCTCTGGATGAGCTCTTTCCACTGCTGCAGGAGCAGTTGAGTAATGAGAAGCTGTCCCCACTGATCAAATATTGATTTTGTCTTTTTCTTTCCAGAGCAACGAGCAGAAGCACTGGGTGAGTCTCTGTGAGCTCCTTCTGTGGTTTGGGATCTTTTCCCATTCCCAAAGTAGAAGGAGCTTGGGATCTGCCCAAGCTCTGCCCAGTCCTGCAGGAGCTGCCATGGGGTGAGAAGCTGTGCCCACTGATCAAATATTAATTTTGTCTTTTTCTTTCCAGACAAACGAGCTGAAGCACTGGGTGAGTCTCTGTGAGCTCCCCCTCTCTCTGCGTTCTCTCCCAGGTACTCTGTGCTCAGTCCCTTCCCCCCTTGCCTGTCCCCTCCATCCCTGCATTCCCTGTCCCCAGGGAAACCCCTAGGGGCCGTTCCTTGGTGTGGTGGGCAGCTCAGGGACACCAGCCCAGGGATGGATTTCCCTGGAAGGGTGAGCAGCCTGGGGACACCACAACTAGGGATGGCCCCTCTCACATGACCTGAGTCTCTTTGCACAGGCTGTGGGACATGACTAAACTGCAGGGAATCATTCCTGTGGTTTGGGGTCTGTTCCCATTGTTCCCAAATCAGAAAGAGCGTGGGATCTGCCCAAGCTCTGCCCACTGCTGCAGGAGCTGCCGTGGGGTGAGAAGCCATCCCCTCTCATCACTCACTGCTTCTCCTCTCCTTGTGCACCAGCCTTGGGATGGATCCAGGCTCAGACGGAGCCATTCCCGTTGTTTGCAGGTGTTTTCCACTCCCCAGACAGAAGGAGTTTGAGCTCTGGATGAGCTCTTTCCACTCCTGCAGGAGGAGTTGAGGGATGAGAAGCTGTCCCTGCTGATCAAATATTGATTTTGTCTTTTTCTTTCCAGATAAACTGCTTGGAGAACTGGGTGAGTGTCTGTGAGCTCCTCCTGTCTCAGTGTCCTCTCATGGGTGCCCTGTGATCAGCCCTTTCCCCCCTTTCCCTCTCTCCATCCCTATGTTCCCTGTGTCCACGGAAACCCCTACGGGCTGTTCCTTTGGGGGGTGGGCAGTTTGGGGACACCAACCCAGGGATGGACCCTCTCCCCTGCCCAGAGTTGCTGGGGAACAGCCATGGGACGTGACCTGATCTTCTCTTTCTGTAGAGCAGAAAAAGGTTCTGCTTCCTCAGAGTCCAGGGAAGGGGGTATTTGATTATTTTTTTTTTTGTTATCTTATGGGGAGTTCTCCTCCTTTTCCCTGTTTGGGAGGTGTACCTGGGCTGGCCTGTGAAGGGAGAGTTTTAAACTGAGAGAGTTTAGATTCAGAATAGAAGAAAATCTTTACTGTGAGGGTGGTGAGAGCCTGGCCCAGGTTGCCAAGAGAAGCTGTGGCTGCCCCATCCCTGGAGGGGTTCAAGGCCAGGTTGGAAGGGACTTTGTGCAACCTGGTCTTTTGGGAGGTGTCCCTGCCCAGGGCAGGGGGTGGCACTGGTTGGTCTTTAAGGTACCTTTCAACCCAAATAGTGACTCTATGACTGAGCTCTGCCCCTGATATTCTGGCTTCTCCTGTCCCTGCAGACTTGTTCACTCTGGATTCAAGCACGTTTGATTCTGAATTGTCTTCCCAAAGTGTTAGAGACATGTGAGATGGAAGTGCACAGAAGAACCTGCCTTACCCTTGCAAGAGATTTAGTTATTGGAACTGAGTGCTGGGCCAGGAATGTTTCCGGGAGGGGAGGCATTGCTGGGAGGTGGAGGTGGGAGGTGATTCATGGTGAGCTGTTGGGGTGGCCAGAGTGTCCCTGGAGCGGAAGGGGTCTCTGAACCTGAACCCTGAAGGAGGCATCTGTGCTGTCAGGCACAAGAAGGGCCAGTCCATGGCTCTCACCTCTACTCCCATCCCCCTGTCCCAGTCCCTGCTCCCCAGGAAGATCTGGGTCTTACTGGGCTGGACACAGAGGCTGGTGACTTTCCTCAGCGCTGACACTGGGATCGAGAACTTCACTTTCCCACCAGCCTTGTTCCACAGGGAGAGACCATGCACCCCTGGTTTTGAGTGGAGACAAGG